GACCATATATGAACATAAATGAACATATAATATAGTGATGTAATCAAACACAATTAAGCATATATGAACATAAAAGGAACTTATATGAACATACATAAATGAACATAAACGAACAACATAAACGAACGTTCACGAACATAATTGAACGAATAAGACCATTGTTCATGTTCATTCGTTTAACTAAAAGAACGTGAATTTGTGTTCATTTTCGTTCATTTATTAAATAAACGAACATAAATAAACTTCCCGCCGAACGGTTCACGAACAATTCGTTGAAAGTTCAGTTCATTTACAACCCTAGGAGTAAGTGACTAAGTTACAGGTGTTTGTTATTGTCTGGAACTGTTACTGGTAGAAGTTGGAACAAAACCAAGGAGGTCGTAGGTGGGCTTCTACGTAAGAGAATGTTGGGGAGGTTGGGCCTATTGAAGTGGGTTGGCAGCGGGCCTGAATGGGATCCACGGAACCGACATGGGCCAGACATAAGGTTGTTATGGTACTGCAAATAGGCTCCATGAAGAAAGTTGTTAGGGCTGTTGATTTCCAACTATTTGAGACATAAATAGTTGTTGGAGAAACCACCATGGTGAGACTGATTTGGACGACAACGCCTTCCTTATGTTGTTGCTAGAGGGAAGAAGATTTGAGGAGGAATAAAAGGAAATGGTGTATAGCAAAGTAGGTGAAGAAGAGCGGTTCTAGTGAATTAGTTGAGGAGGACGATTGCGAGTTAACTATCTTTCCTCCATGATAATCTTGGAGCGGGCTTGGAGAAAAGTAGGAAAAGGATCTTGATGGAGAAGTAAGACGGCGATGTTTTCGTATTTGTCAGGAAAACCGTTGAGAAGGTGAGTGACCAACGTTTTTTCCGAGATCGGTGCCTCAATGTTTTGCCAAGAGGTCGGAGATAGTTTTGGTCTTTTCACAATATTGTGCAATAGTGAGATCACCAAGTTCCATATTTCGAAGTTTATTGTCTAATTCAATGGCCGTGAATTTTATTTTACTGAAAGAGGTCTTCAAAATTTGTCCAAATGGAATGGGCGGTGGAGTTTTCTTTGAGAATATTTTGGTGAGAAGTGACCATGTTACTGTGCTATAGATCCATATTTTGATGAGATAGTCAAGTTTTTCACATTCCACATTATTGTCATTAGCGGGTGTGGAGGTATCGTCGATGAAGCTATATAAACCAAAACTTATGTAGTGGGTTTTGAAGAGAGTCCTCCATGCCTCATCATTGCGAGCGTTTATGTCACACCCCCAGCCGACGACGAAAACATCGGGTCGTGAAACGACATCATGGGTCACAGTATTTAAGCATACGTTGAACATACAACAATACGGTAATAAATAAATACTTTAATTCATTGAAAAGAGTAAATTACAATATCTCGTAGTCTAGGGTACAAGAAATTGAAAGGTACAAAACAAGCCTTAACAGTAGGCAACAAAGGAAATACTAAAATACAAAAGATTATTGCAATCCCATGATCATTCTGGTAGTATATCTTCCAACTATCTGATTACTTGAGAATACATGTGTTTTGAAATAGTGTCAACTAAAAAGTTGGTGAGTTCACAAGTTTGTTATAACCAAGTCAAAATGTACTTTCTCACTAAAGTATGACTATATTCGAGTTGATAAGTACTTTTTGAGAACGAAAACCGTTATTTGGATATGTAGATAGTTTCTTATCATATATATATATATATATATATATATATATATATATATATATATAATGTACCTTTATTATCTTGAGTTTTCATAACTGAGTTCTTGATAAAAAGATATTTCTTATATGTATATAGGTATTTCAAATTTCATATACATATTTTATATTCACCATGAGGTTCTATAACTGAGCTATAAATGACTAATATGCCTCTCCAAACGCTTTCATCATGACGTCAAAATAGTAAAGACAATTATCACCTGGTGTGACTCGACCGTTAAAGTTGTAGCTAGCAACTACCGGTGAGGGTGTTAACCCGTATAAATCTATACATAATCCTCCCGCCCCCCAAGAATTAACGATTATAAGCGATAGGGCTTTTTAAGTTTTTGATACATAGTTGATGAATAAAAACGCTCACATGAATTTATTAATATTAATCAATTTGATGGCCCTAACTTTATATTACAAGTTTATGGGAAAAATATCTACAATATTGTACACTATTGTAATAATTCTATAATTCGAGGTTGTACAATACATTTCTATAGTATTTGGTATTGAGGTAAAGTTATTACAATACAATTCTACTATAATTATTGTTTGAACAAAGTTTCGATAGAGTTTTAATATTAATTCTATAAACCTAATAGAATTAACGTAGTTCATTGCAGTCGAGTAACCAAAGAGATTATAATTTTTCAGAAAATAACAGTTTTACAGCTCGATGAATAGTAACTTTGACCGGTGAATAGAGATCTTAACCGGAAGAATAGTGCCCTGACTGGAACTTGATCGAAATCTACTCCAAAACTGGCTGGAAAAAGAATTCTGGCGGCGGTGACCGATGGTGAGCGGTAGCGATTGGAGGAGATTGGTGGCGTTTGGATCGTCGGAGGCTGCTGATAGGCAGGTGGAGGCCGGATGGAGCTTCGTCGGATTTAGTCGGAGGAAAAGGGGGCAGCAGTCGGCTATTCAAGCAGTTTCCCGATTTAGGCATCACTAGGCGGCTGGTGGTGGTTCCGGCGGTTGCGAAGGCAACCAAAAGAGAGAGAGAGAGAGAGAGAGAGAGAGAGAGAGAAAGAGAGTGAGTGTGTGTGTGTGTGATTCCAGTGGAGAAGGAGGGAGATGAGAGAGATTTGGTGAAAAAATAATGGGAGGGTTGGCCTCTTATATATGTTAAATCCATTCCTGGTCCAACTGTCTAAAATGAAGGCGATCCGACGGCTCAGATCAAATCTAGGATTTTTTTTTATCTTATCTAACCGTTTCATGAAAAATAGGTGACAACGTTTTCAATTATAGAATCAAATACTAGACGTTATCCTAATCGAAACAGTTCGATTTCTAGTCGTTAACTAATAGCGTAGCTATCCTAACGAAGCGTTTGAAAGTTATTTTCGGGCAATTACTGTTTACAATTGCGAACTTTCACTTCGTAAAAGAGTCGATATGATGTGTAATGGAAAAATTAGCTCCAAAATCAAATACTACATCAAAACCTGATTCGTAATATATAACTAACTTTCGTTACGAAACCTGGAAATGACCGTACAGATCATCCGAAGTTTACTTGGTAAAGAAGGCGAACATTAACCATTCAATCTTATCCACAACAGCTCAGGGTATTTTTTGGGCAAAAAAAGTTAGGAACGTGATAAATTCCTAAACTAAAAGAGGTTCATAGGAAATTTGATCGGGAATGGAAATTTTTTTCCTAAGACATCTTAATTCATTTGAAGTTCTTGTTTTGACACCTAACATGTGGTGAGCTGTTACATGATTGTTTGTTTTCTTAAAATAGTCGTATATTTTGCATACAAACTCTTTTTTCGACGTTCTTTATGTCCAAATTTTCATATTTTCATGGACTAGGTGATGAACCTATTGATACAACATAATAATGTCTAATACATATATCTCTTTCAATCATATATATTAACCAATTCCTTATGTATATTAAAACTCTCTATTTATTAGGGATTCATATCAATCAAAGACTTAATTGATATTTTGGATGTATTTCAAAGTATAGTACCCTATAAACATTAAAATGATATGATTATTACACATTAGGTCTATTACAACAATGATTAAACTAACATTGTTCGTTTAACAATGACTTGATTTCTACAATTGTCACAATTTGGTCGAGAATCAATGACACATAAGTTTTGATGTTTGTAGTGCAAAGGGTTTTTTGAGAGGCCCATGATAGAAGTCGAGGAGAAGGGAATAGAGGCTTCCAAAATAAAGACGATGAAATTATAAAGAGACTAGGGTCTACAAGGGTTTAGGGTCGTAAGGAACGATAGGAGAGAAGGGGATGCTATCTGATACCATATTAGAGAGATTATTTCTCCATAAATTAACTTTCATTAAACAAGATAATTATACATGGGAAATCACAACATGGGCTAAGTAACGACAATATACATTGGACTAAACTGCGGACTATGATGATTATTTTTAACTAACAAATATACATTCAAATAGGATGTACGTGATATACTCAACAATGATTACAATCAATTTCACGCTTCATCGAATTAAAATGTAGAATATAGAAAAAAAACAATACATTTTTTACATGTAATTCCATCTTTTTTGTATTTTTTTTTTGTTTTTATTAAGAACATGTAAAAATACCAATACAACCATTTACGCATTTTAAACACGATGAACAAATATAAAATTTATTAACTAAAAATAAAAATAAAAATAAAACTTGGCAATCTATTATAATAAATGAAGATAATTTTGCCACATGTCAATCTTTAATGAGTTTTGACACTTGTCATTTTGTCATAATTTTTAAATAAATAATATTCACATATCAATTTATGATTTTTTCTAATTTTTTAAATTAAAAAGTCACATAATATTTATAGTTATATATGTAAAGTATCAAATGTAATAAATATTATACTAAATTGCAATTAATATGTTTCTTCATTCCTTATTTCAAAATTTTATTTTAAAAAATACTTATTATTACATTTTAATATTTTATTATTTTAATCAAACCGTGTAATAACTAATGAAATAATGAAAGTCTAGATTTTCGTCATGTTTTAAAAGTAGAGGGGTTATACGAGCATACCATAAAAACTTACTAGAATTACATATATGTTTCGTATGTTAAACATCGACGTCACCAAAACGGCGGCGTTTATGCCTTCTTCTTCTAGCCGTTGTAGAAATGGGTCTTTACAGGTCGTATTTTCTCTCTCTTCAGTTTTCAAATAATTCGACCGTTAATGAATCCGAACGTTACTTCTTCTCCTTCCCCAGACTCCAACCTACATTTTCCCCGCTCCAAATCTCTCGCCCTCAAACCCTAACAAACCAAAATTTCTTCCATCTCTTTTGCCCTCTGTTTCCATCAATTTCACTCCGTATTTGTTTCCCAAGTTGCAAAGCTGTAAATCCGGTTTGCTATGATGGAGGAATCAGGGGATATGATGATTGATACAGATTATGAATACTCAGCGCCCAAATTCTTTGATTTCATCCTAGGAGAGACTGAAGATGAGATGCGTGTAGCACAGCTCTGGTTTGATACGGCTCTTACCTATGCTCCTTCACGTAAGTTGTTTCTTATAATTCCACGTTTTTAGGTTGAATTTTGATTGCGATCTTGGTTGATTTTGGGGAAAACGATATCTAGGGTTTGCTAATTCTTTTTTCGGATAAGTCTATCTGCAATATTACTTCATGTTCTTTAATCCAGCCTTTAATATTTTGGTTCTTTTTGAGTGATATAACAATTTCCCAAACCATAGATCATTGTTATGTGTTTGTGACCTGTTTGATTTAGGGATTAAGGTTTCTAGGGTTTACTAATACATCAGATGAATTTTAACTGCTAGGTTTCTTGTTCATGAATCTTCACTTTGATTCCTTTGTTCGTTTGGAGTTCAAATTACAATTACAATCAACACTATGGACTTCAGAACACGACTTATTTTAAGCTTCTGTTTCCTTTTTGATACAGCTTATATGCACAAGGTCAAGACTACCAGAGCTGTTGAGTTAGAGAGCCTATGTGATTTTAGGGAAGCTGACTCTCAAAAGGTAATAAAAAAGCCATGATTTTTCTAAATCCATCTTCCTTGTTGGTTTTGCTTACAATTTTCATGTTTGATTTTTATTTCAGGAATCATCTGATTCAACAATTTCATTGAACACCATTAAGAAAATCAATTTGGAACCCGAGAAACAAATGTCAGCAGATACTTGTAAGGAAGATGAAACCTCTAAAGATGCATTGAACAACACACAAAGGTCTTGCAACTCAACTTTCTAATTTGGAATTCCCATTATGCTTACAATCGTTATTTAACTCTCTCTTCTTTTTTCAACAAAATCAGTAAAAAAACTGAGCTTGATTCTGTTGAAAGTAAGGAAGATGTAACCTCAAAAGATGAAACAAATGGACACAAAGAAAGCCTTCCCAATCAGGTATTCTACTTGAAAAGAAGAAATCTTTTATTTTATTCAACTTTCCATTTCTAACCAAAACTTCTTGTTTTTGTTTTTACTAGTTATCTGTTGACCAGAAAGTCAACGACACCCCAAAACCACGTGTCAGTTCTCAAACAGTGTCCAAGAATCATCAAACAGCACGAAAGATTGCTAGTGCATTGAAGAATCCATCAGCTCTCAAGTCAAAAAGTCAATCATCACAACTCAAAGCCACTAAAACACCAACAAATCAAACAAATAAAGCTACTGGAACTCCTAATCTTTTCGTTCAAGAAAACCAAGCCATAAAGAGGCAGAAACTTGAAGGAGGAAAAACACGACAAATTCTTAATATCAAAACACAAATTTTACCCCACAAAACAAGACCAGGTTTTGTTACAAAAGGACACAACACTAACTTACCAAGAAAGGAAGAAAGAAAGGTTTGTTCATTTATTTATTATTATTATTATAATAAATAATAAATCTCTATAGAAATGATTTTAATTTAACTTTTTTGTATTGTTCTTCAAACGAAAAGATGTACGTTCGTGAAAATGCACAGATTCCATTTGTTTCTGTTGCGGAAATGATGAGGAAATTTCAATCAGGCACAAGGGATCTCAATCTGCCTCCTCGGCCTTCTTCAATCTCACATGTAACATTTTTTTTTCTAATTTCTTTTAACCCTAAATAAGTTTGTTAATATGAAATTTCATCTAATAACCAGTTTTTTTGTTTATAGGGTGATAGTAGTAATCAAATGATGCAAAGAAAGCCAACAAAATTAACACTGACAAGACCAAAAGAACCCGCATTTGAAACCTCACAACGTATTCGATCAGTTAAACTCAAAAGTTCAGCAGAGCTGGAAGAAGAATTAATGGCCAAAATCCCAAAATTCAAAGCTCGTCCAGTCAACAAAAAGGTAATAGTAATAATAATATTATAATATTATCAAGAAATCAAAAATGGCTTTTTTTTCATTTTGTTAAAAAAGAAAAAAAAAATGTTTTTTTAAACAGATACTCGAAGCTCCAACATTACCCGCAATGAAAAGAAGCACACCTCAGGTTCCCGAATTCCAAGAATTTCATTTGCAGACAATGGAAAGAGCCAGTCAGAATGCAGAAACTTCAACTGTTGCATCAAATGAAGCAGCCCCACAGGTGAAAAAAAAAAACTTTTTATTTTATTTTTTTGGATATTTTTTTTAAAAGTTGTATTTTGGCTGATTGTTTTTATTTTTATTTTTTTTATTTTGTAGAAGGTTGTTCATAAATGGAAGCCACATCTTACTACACCTAAGACACCACCACTACAAACATTAGCGAGAGCACGACCTCCAACTATTAAAACAACTGAAGAATTAGAACAAGAAGAACTCGAGAAAGCACCTAAGTTCAAAGCCAGACCTTTGAACAAGAAGGTATAAAATTACCATAATGCCCCTGATCAAAATTCTCATTTTTTGTCCCCTCGCCAGATGTGGGAAAGATGGGATAGGGACACATTCTTTCTTGATCTCTCTTATGCATTCTCGATCTCTTAAGTGTGTAAAATTACGATAATGCCCCTGGTCAAAAACTCAAATTTATCATTTTTGTACCCGCCAAAATTATCTTATGCATTCTTGATCTTTTTATGTGTGTAAATGACTTGACCATAATTGCCCTCCCAAACACTCATTTTTATTGTTTGAAATTTTTTGTAGATATTTGAAAGTAAAGGTGAGTTGGGGCTATTTTGCAACAAAAAACGACAAGTCACAATCCCTCAAGAATTCCACTTCGCAATTGATGAAAGGATTCCACCACCAATTCCAAATGTTTCCGAATTGTTTGATAAGGTTAGTTACGAGCACCACCACCACCAACACCACCCTCTGCCGCCTCTTACTATTTGATTTCGTTTTACAGCTCTCGTTATGCTCAGATTCTTCCGCCTACCAGAAACCGATTCCTAAACTCACTGCACCAAATCCTTTCCATCTACACACCGAGGAACGAGGGGCAGAAAAGGAAAAAAAATTTGTCATGGAAATTATTCATAAACAAATCGAAGAGGAGAAAGCCAGGATTCCCAAAGCTACCCCTTATCCATATACCACCGATTACCCTGTGGTATGCATACAAAACTAAACTAAACTAAACAAAACCCTACTTTTTTTTTTTTTTTTTTTTTTATAATTTATATTTATAAAATTGAATTTATTATATAAAAAGGTTCCTCCAAAACCGGAGCCAAAACAGTGCACAAAACCAGAACCGTTTCAATTAGAGAGTGTGGTGAGACATGAAGAGGAAATGCAAAGGGAAATGGAAGAAAGAAAGAGGAAGGAAGAGGAAGAAGCTAAGATGAGATTATTCAAAGCTCAACCAATCTTAAAAGAGTAAGAAATAGCAACCTACTTTCAATTATTATTATTTTTTATTTCAAAAAATGTTGACTTTGTTTGATTTTTCAGGGATCCGATTCCAGTTCCCGAGAAAATCCGAAGACCTTTGACCGAGGTTCAAGAATTCGAATTACATGTAGAACACAGAGCTGTGAATCGAGCCGAGTTTGACCAAAAAGTCAAAGAGAAAGAGATGATGTACAAGAGATACAGAGATGAGGCAGAATCTGCAAAGATGGTATAAATTTTTTTTTTTTTAATTATCAAAAAGAAATATTTATTTAATTTGTGTTTGGATTTTGCATTTTGCAGATGGAAGAAGAAAAGGCTTTAAAACAATTAAGAAGGACTTTGGTGCCTCATGCAAGACCGGTGCCTAATTTCAACAAGCCTTTCTTACCCCGAAGGTAAATATTGTGAGAAAAAAGAAATTATAAAATATATTTTTAGTAGATCGAAAATGTTAATTTGTAAAATATTGAAGTGTTTGTTATTTGTAAAATATTGTGAGAAAAAGAAATTATAAAATATATTTTTAGTAGATCGAAAATGTTAATTTGTAAAATATTGAAGTGTTTGTTATTTGTGAATAAATAGGTCATCAAAAGGAGTGACAAAACCAAGGTCGCCAAGATTGAAGATAAATGAAAGAAGAAAGATGGTGGTGGCTACAGCGACTTCAAGTGCTGCATCGAATATGAGGTGATGATGTGTGAAAAAATCTTGATTTGTGTTCAAGAGCTCTTGAATATTATAGATAAATCTTGGTGTAATTTGTTGTTTATGTTGATTACAAATAATGGATTCAAATTGTATTTAGTCTAATTAGCTTTTATGAAGAAAAACATCTCAACAAATATTATGATTGCTTACAAGTTACAAGACAAAATTGCAACAAATATTACCAGTATACTTCTTTCTCTTTCATGTTTTGCCACCGAAGTTCTTCTTCTCTTTCAAACGCCACAGTAGATCTTATTCTTCTCTTCCTTCTTATTTCATTCATGTTTTGCCACCGAAGTTCTTCTTCTCTTTCAAACGCCGCAGTAGATCTTATTCTTCTCTTCCTTCTTATCCCACTTTTCCCACCACCGCCTCTTCCACCCAATCAGATGTTGCACTGCCATGGACATCATTCATTATCTTTCTCCTGTGATTAGATCTATTCTCATTCTGAAGCTCCCTTTCTTGGATATCAGTCGATAACCCTGCCCTCCTTTCTTCTTGGCTCTGCTGCTTCACCTCCGCTTAGACCAACGGTAGATAATTGCTTTGATGGGTTCCGATTTTGATTGTTCTTTACAAAGATGGAGGCGATGATGAAATTTGTTTGTGAAAACAGTTTGCACCGGCAACCATGGGTGAACTTGAAGGCCGTATTTTGGCAAGGCAACTCGGAAGGCATATCCGATTGGAATATGCAACCGGTGTTTGCAGCCATACCGTCTTTCATCCCCTTTTTCTGAGCCTCGTCTCATTGAAAATCATTGTTATGATTTCCGATTTTCAAATTTCTGGTGTTTCTTTTTGTTTGTGTTTGTCTGTACTTTTGGAGCAGGTTGGTTTGATTTCCCCCTGATTTCTAGGGTACATAGTCTTCTCTTCCTTCTTATCCCACTTTTCCCACCATTTAGTGGCATTCCAGATTATGCAGGTTGTAAGTTAAAAGACGATGGTGTGGCCGGAGGGCAGCAATGGCGACTGACCAACTGATGGAGGTCGCCTCTCCTGGTTCTTCACTTCTGCATCTCCATTGGCTTTTTTTTGAAGCTTTTAATGTAATAACTCTATTCTATCATATTCTTTCTTTTTTGTCTTTTTTTCTCAATAAGAGCCAATTAATTTCGGGTTAAATAATGTTTTTTATTACACTTATGGATCGAGGACGCAGTGGCTAAGTAGAAGATAAAAACCTTGAATGGAAATAACTTTGTGTCTCTTTCAATCATAGGGTTATCTCGACCACCATTGCCCACGTAACAAGTATTATAATGTGGAGGTTTTCGACAATTTTAATTCCTGTTGAAGAAAATCAGGGAACCAACATAACAGTCGGTGTGCAATTGAGGTAAGTAATTGTTCAATAGAGGCGAAATTGATGGTCTATTTTGCCCTACTGTGGAGTTTTGATCATGCCTACGACCTGTTTGATGAAATGTTTCAACTAATAACGCTCCATTTAGCAGATGTAAGTAGGTTCTTGATTTTCAATGTTATGGGATGGGAGGTAAGTTTGACATATTTCAGTCGATTATAGTATTCTTTTAGTTACTCACCATTTTCCCTTTTTGATTTTTATACAGAATGATGAGATGTTGAATTAATCTCATGGAGGTAGGAATTTGAATTTGTGATTTCTCATTTGTATTTATTATCTTTTATTGATTGTGATTATATCCAACGTGTATTTGGTTGGCTTGTGAGTCAGGGATGTATATGAATATGACCCTTTTACCCTTCGACTCATTTTACAGGTTCTGAAAGTTCTTTCAGCTTCTCCATCAACCTATTCTACTAACCCAAAGTCCAAGTTGTTAAATCTACCTTTTGTTTTTTTGACACCCATGTTTTCATCTTCCCCGCCTTTGACCTCGCCTCTTTCTTCTTATCTCAATTTGCTTCCAGTTTCATCAGAGTTGTGTTTGTCGATGACCAATTGCACACGCCTTGGAGGAGCGATGTGCGTTCTTTTACTTTATCAGGCGGACTGAAAAGCGGTAAAGGGATCTGGACTCTAAGACACAAATATATTTTTGGGAGAAGAAGACGAACAGGGATTAAAGGGAGAAAGCTGGAAGGAGACGGAGAATTGGTGCGAAGAAGAATCTTATCAGAAGTGGTTCAGTTGATGTTGTTGTGGTAGAGAGTGTAAGTAAGGTCTCTATTTTTATAAATACAAATTTTACCCAAAAAAAGAATCTTTTTTTAAACTTATGGGTTTGTTATGTAATATCAGGTTGCTGCCCTTGTGCCTAAATGTGAAGTTGATGGTGAAATGGGTGATGCACACATGGCAATGCGAGGTAGACTTATGAGTCAGGCACTTCGTAAATTAAGCCATTCATTATCTACATCACAAACTATTTTAATCTTCATTAATCAGGTACCAAAAAGTATATAAATTTTACCTGTTGGAGATAAAATATAGTCTGAATCAAGTAATTTTCAAATTTGACTTAGGTAAGGTCAAAGCTAGCTACTTTTGGATCTGGTGCACCCTATGAAGTGACCTATTTGCCCTTCTTCTTTCTTTGTCCCATTTCATGAATGTTGTGAAATTTGTTTTTTGGAATGTACGGGTAAAATGGTCATTTATGTGTTGTACACAGACATTAGGAAGTTAAGTTCTGGTGAAGATTATGAAGAATAAGCTTGCACCACCTTATAGAACTGCTCAATTTGAGCTTGAATTTGGGAAGGGTATATGTCGTGAGTCAAAGCTTAGTGTTAATGTTGGGCTAGCCATTTGAAGTACTGCAAAAGTTGGAATAAACATGGGAAAATTAAAATTAAATGATAAATCGCCATTTTCTTTATAATAGCATATAAATTGCGACAAATAAAGTTAAAATATATAACATGTACTGTTGAATATATTTATTACCTTATTAAATCATATGTTTACAATATCTTATAAACGGTCATTGGTTAATTAATTATGTTACGTAATATGTTATGATTTATATATATATTTTTAATTAAGTTAGTTAAATAACATTTATGATATTAAACTTAATATTCTTTTCAAAATCTCTTTATATATTAAATTTTTATAAATGTATGTATTACTTTATTCCAAATTTATACTTTAAGAGCTGTAATAGGGCTATAATAAATGGACCTCTTTTCCAACCGAGATATTATACGACTGATTTAGTGATTTAAGTATGTATAAATTCCAGATTTTGTTGTGTAATGATTTGGGTGTTTGCATTTTTTAGGTTTTGTTGGTCTGTTTTTGATTAACTCAAAGAAAGACAAGATGGGTATTATGTTGTTGTTGGAGGAATTACTCCAACACCTCTTCGAGAAGGCAAGTCTACTACCAATGTTTGTAAACAATTTCAGTATTTTTTTAATTCATGACATTTTTGTACTTTTCTAATTATTTCAATTTCCAATATAAAGCAGCGTTAACATCACAAATCATTAGGAAAACCAAATTTGGATCGCAGTTGAAAGAAACTATAAAATAACAGAAATGCCCTTGCTACAACATCATTAACCTATACATTCAAGAACACTTTAAAAGCCTTTTATTTCTTCTCCTTTTGATCTTCTTATTCCAACAAAAACCTTCCCATCAGATGTTAAGTTGATCAAAATAGTAATATCCTTCTTTAAACCACAAAAGACCAAATTGCCCTTTACCAATTTTACTGCGCCAATCCCAGGTAAAACCAAGCCACAATCTTATACTTTCATGTCTAGCATTATTTTTAGCCTCCAAAAAAATCAACATAAAATCACAGATCATAAGACACAAATAGACCAAAATGCCCCTGTTTTCTTATCCTGCATATCTTTTGCTAATGTACTTGTCTGATGTGATCATCTTTTGCTAATATAATCCTCGCTATGTAACCGATTTCAACCTCCGTTTCATATATGTAATGCCATTTCATCAATATTACTTTTAAGGTATCTTAGAACTCATAATTCTTGAATTTTGTTCTTATTAAGCCCTAAATTGATTTGGCATTTCGATTTGTTGTTGACTGCGATGGAATGTTGGCAAATATGGTGTGTATCTCATCTCCTTATTTCACAGTTTCAAGTTTTAGGGTTCACTTATAGATTGAAATATGTGAAAGTTTATATATAAATTACTATAGCTTATGAATCATGATTCAAGAATCAATCTTTTTTACCTTCTGTTAACTTCTGATAGTTTAGATGATCATATTATTTTCTGAATATGTGTATGCAATTTTGTTTTTGTCAGCTGAAATCATAATTTAAGGCTTTGATGATTGGTATGAACTTACATAAATTACTTCAGTATAGTTGTGGTAGATGGGTTTTCATTTCCCATCTCTTAAATCAAAGATTAGTAATTACATAATAATCAGTAATTGGCAATGGATATGAGAAATGTTCATGCTTGATCTTACAGGTTGTGGCAAGATTCTGAGAACAGAACATTATTATCTAATTTGCTCATTAAGAATTCTTCCCAGATATGTTCTTATAACATACGACTCTTGATAATTCATAACGAATTGACACAATTTATTAAAAAAGATACCTTAATTACCTTCTATCGTTATTTTTTCTATGTTTCTGTGTTTTTTAAAAATTGCAGAGACCAAAGATTCTTACTGTTGAAGACAACCTAATGGTCGTAGGATGCAAGTAAATTTTGGGTCTTCCTATTTCTCTTTTGCATTATGTTGACCATGGGTGAACTTAAAGGCCGTATTTTGGCAAGGCAACTCGGAAGGCATATCCGATTGGAATATACAACCGGTGTTTGCAGCCATACCGTCTTTCATCCCCTTAACCCGAGCCGCGTCTCATTGAAAATCACTGTTATGATTTCCGATTTTGAAATTTCTGGTGTTTCTTTGTTCGTGTTTGTCTGTATTTTTGGAGCAGGATGGTTTGATTTCCCCCTGATTTTTAGGGCACATAGTTCTAAGTTCTTAATTACCGATTGAGTTATGTAAATTATATACTATCACTTTCAGTCTCATTTATTTATGGTGTTATTGCTACTCTGTTAAAGGTATGTTCCATAAGTCCTATGCAAATCTGTCATGCATTTTAATTCCATCACCACAGCGCCAACGGCGCAATGATTCCATTCTAGTTTAAAATCAAGTTTTTCTCATAACGTGAGGCTGAAGATTCTATGGTGGTCCCTTTAAAGATTACAAATTGTAAAAAGAACATTGAGTGGGTAAAATTGTGCCAAATTTAACGAGGAATAACAATAAGTTAAATCCATGATTTTAACAACAGGTTCTTTACTTTATCTAAAAAAAATGACAAACATTTTTTATAAAAATAAATTGTTTCATAACAATAGGTTAAATCCATAATTTAACAACAGGTTACTTTACCTAAAAAAAATGACATAAACATTTTTATAAAAATAAATTGTTTCATTGAAGTAACATAGTTTTGTTATAAAATTCAGCTGTAACATATATTTTTGTAAAAATAAAGAATCTTTTAACTTTTTATATGTTTTCTTAAATATATATGCTCAACATTCCACAAACATCAGGTTAAACAAATTCTCCATGATACATAATTAGTTCGACACAACATTATTTAAACACCAATGATGGTTATACATAATAATACTAGAGAAACTGATACATTTTTGAGATTCAAACTCATGGGGTTAAGCAACTTTTTTTAGCATTCGACAATAGTGTGTGTCGTGCACGCACTATTGTTGAATTACTACAAGCACTATTGTTGAATTACTACTCCGTGCCTTGATTTATTTAGGTTTTTCATCTGGTTTGCAAATGTTTATTATAAGTCTGGTGGTCTTTTATAACCATTTGAAACCTGTTATCGTCACTTTGCACACAAACAAGTTCCTTCCCAGTGCCTTTGAACTCCATTGAGTTCTTCCTTCGCCTTTCATTGTGCCCTGCTAAACGCCTCCTACAACTCCTCTTGGCTTCATCGAATTCTGAAAGCTCATGAAACCTGATTCCCAAAATACTAAGAGATTGTTGTGGCCAATATAAACTTTTTTTTTTCCATTGATAAAAATGTAAACCATGTGTGGACTTCTTTGTTGTACACTTTTTTCAATTTCATGTAAAAAGTTCAAAATGACAACTATTGTAGTCCTTTGTGGCTTTGTGGTAGTACAAAAAATATTTACTAGTATGGTTGAAGAATTAAATGGTCATCTAAATAAAATCTAATTTTTTTTAACAAAAGACTCCAAGTTGAGTCATGTTAGTTGGATGAAGTCTAAGGGCGTGTTTAAGATTGCTTTTCAAAATGCTTATTGATTTTTTGGAAAAATAATTTTTTTGCTTATAAAACTAATGTTTGTCAAACATTTTTTTTAATTTATTAGCTTTTTGAAAAGCCAATAAGCTAATAAGTAATTTTAAATGCACTCATATTTCAATATATAAAATAATGCTGAAACTATTTTTTTATAATAGAAAGAAATCACCATTTTTAATTTTTCTTGGGGATTAAAACGTGTTCTTATGAGAAATTGTAATTTATTTTCCAAGACAACTACAAAGATTCTCACATGTTATGTCAATATGTGAAAATGATTGACATAAATTAATAGCACCCGTAAAAGGTAAAGTCTATCATTCTCCAACAATACTACAATTAAAAGATTAAGACTTGTTCATTTAAATCACTTTTAATTAAACAAATGATGTTTACACTTATAATTAAAAGATTAAGACTTGTTCATTTAATATTTAAAATTTAAGTGGTTAGTCTTGTACGATCTTTAGATACCACTTGTAAAACATACAATTTTGTGTTTGAAGATTGCGTATCTTTGATATACAACAAAAATTTGTTATGTTATTATGAATTATATAGAAAAACGACTAACCGGCTACATTGTTGACAGAATCTTTGGTGGATACCAGCAATAATAGCAGCATGAGCCTTTGCATGAAACTCACATACTCTATGCCTTCGATGATATTGTTTGGCTTCAGCTAAATCACTTGTACATTTTTCAGCTTGACAACATCTCGTAGCACTGTTCAAACCACCACTATTCTGACACCCTTTCTTCTTCTTTACATCCCCATTGGAAGAACCTCCACCATCTTCGCCATCGCCACCGTAGCTGCCGCCCATAAGCTCATGATCATAATTGTCATTCACTAAGTCGTTCTTTGTCATGTTCAACTTTTCTCTAGAGGAAATTTTGTTACTCTTTCTCTCCATTTTTTTAATTTTGGAATTTATATAACAAGTGAAGTGATGAATTTATATGAAGATAAAGTGAGTGGTGGGGTGAATTGGAATTTACTTTTTTGACAAGGAGAAGTTAGAGAGGGATGTCCAAGGACCACAAATGTACCTAGAAGTTATGGTAAAATCTTTCAAATCCATGCAATAGTAAATTGTAGCATGTGTAAAAATAATTGTACACTTCATTAGATTAAACAAAGCCCATATTCTTTCTATATGTGTGGAGACAAAATTGAGTGTCATAGCTTGGCACCTATATTTCTTTCTATTTTAAGTTCATTACGAATCAATAAGCTATTATTTGATTGAATTTATTATATTGATTACATTGTTTATCAAAACTTACTCATTTTAATAGATAAGATAATTACATGATATTGACAATACATAATTCATTTTTTAGTAACTATAGTACCAACATATGGAGTATTAAATTCATATGTACTCTCTCTCTCTCTCTCTCTCTCTCTCTCTCTCTCTCTCTCTCTCTCTCTCTCTCTCTCTCTCTCTCTCTCTCTCTCTCTCTCTCTCTCTCTCTCTCTCTCTCTCTCTCTCTCTCTCTCTCTCTCTCTCTCTCTCTCTCAATGGTCAAATTATATAATATGTTACTAAATGTTTCATAAACATTGCAAAATCTTTTATAGTTACTATTTTCATCTATAAGAATCATTTGCACTTTGGGATAATGACTTAAAAAGGTAATATACTTTTCGATTTGTACACATTTGGTCATTGAGTTTTTTTCGTCCATATTTGCCCTTTCAACTTGTTTAACTGTACAAATTCAGTCCTTATGACCGACTACTCTAGGTAAACCGGAAAAAATAATTTAGTAGGGTAATATATCTCTCACTTTCTACACATTTAGTCTTTAATGTATTTTTTTTCACATTTAGCCCTTAATATTTTTTTGTTACAAAATAAGTCATTGTTGTTTTTTTATACATTCAATACTTATGAACGACTTCTTTATGTTTATCTCATGACATCGTACATGGGACAATCATTAATGAGGTGTTTGAGGATGTTCATGCTTATGGCCATTACGACCTCGATTGCTTGTTGCTTAGGTTGTATGTTCTGAACGTCGTAACTTCTTAATATATACGATCTTGGATTTTATCAATTTTTATATCCACACATTCATATTTGAGTCTAGCACAACTTTCATTTAGATTACTCTCGTTAAAAAGTAATATATTTTAACTTACGGTCTTTATATACATGTGTTCTTTATGAATGTATGTATTTTTACTTACTTTTTAACGGAAGTGAAGATTATAGTAGACCCAAATACGAACGCGTGGATATAAAGATCGTAATACAAGATCGTATGAAGAAGTTACGACGTTTACAACTTAAGACCTAAGCACCAAGCAAGGTTGTGGTGACCATAAGCATGAACAATCCCGAACATCTCATTAATGATTGTCACATATAGGATGTCGTGAGAAAACCTAAAGAAACCGTTGATAAGTACTGAATGTGTACAAAAACAAAAAGTACTTATTTTGCAACAAAAAAAATATTAAGGACTAAATGTGTACAAAGTGAAAAATATATTACCCAATTAAGTTATTTTTTTCGGCTTACCTGGAGTAGCCGGTCATAAGTTGAAAGGATAAATGTGGACGGAAAAAAAACTCAGTGACCAAATGTGTACAAATCGAAAAGTATATTACCCTTTTAATTCATTATTCCTTCCACTTTTTATTTTCTATATCTTACCCAAAAATAAAAATCAAATCAAAATTTTTGGAATAAAAGTTGCTAATTTTCTAGTACGATAATCACAAATCAGTTAATATTTTTGTATTAAATTTTAAGTTGAGTAAAAAATGTTAGTACTTGTGAAAATATATACTTGATATGGTATATAATTAAATAAAATGTTAAATAATTTGACAAACACGTAGAGCGGTTAAATAAAGGAAGGTTGTCAAAATTAATAAAGGAAGGTTGTCAAAATTGGAATTTTATATGTGATGATTTAAGTTTTAGAAAATTATAATTGTAAAATCGAAACAGAATAAGATTTAACCAAAATTTGTTTAAAACATAATATATTAGGTTATAACCCGTGTAATACACGTTTGAGAGTTGAAAATAATATTGATAATAAAATAATGTATTCATTAATAAAAACTCACACATGCACTTTGGCATTAAAATCTTCCTAGTTCTCTTCTCACATGTTTTGTTCTTCGAATGGATAAACGAGGAGAATGGCTTGGAGATTCATATATGATTTGATATAATTATTTAATTACCGACCAAATATCAAAAATATTCTCAAATATATAGAGACATAAAGTTTGTACATACTCATTAATTGAAATATACAATAACATGCCGCTTTAATATCATATTTTTAACATTGTCATATGGTAGAAAATTTATAATAACATACTTTACTGAAACATAGTTACACACATAATCGGCTAATCTTAAACCGCATTATAATATGTGCAAGAATGTGACTGTTTAAATATAATAACATGTAGATTATATTTCAAAATTTGTTACTTTGCAATGAAGCTTAAATTTAACACACGACAAACATAAATATCATATGGTTAAACATAAGCAACCATGCTAAATTTAGAAAATTGAAAAAGATTTATATCAATTAAACCGAATTGTAACATCCGGAATCTAGAAGGTCAATTATGGAAATAAATTCTTTTTTTAGGGGCCAACTCGTCGAGTTCATGACATAAACTCGACGTGTTGGAAGCTTTTGGGACGCGTGTTTATAAAGACCAACTTGTCGAGTTGGTATGGGGAAACTCGACAATTTGACGTTGTTTGAGAAAATTTTAGGGTTTTGCACCATATCTAAAGACCTTAACTCCCTTTACTGGCCTCCTTACCAGCCTCCTTGTCCAGAAAAACCTAATTTCGTGCATTACCCTTAAAGGTTGAGTGTGTGAGCTTGTGGTGAACTTGGAGAGTTGGTTTTTGGTGATCTTTGGAAGGAGTTTGAAGAATGAAGGTGCTTGGTTTGGAAGGAAGGCTTTGGATCCAGAAACTCTCTATTTGTTGCAGTCCATTTGATGTATAAAGTCGAAACCTTGTGTTGTTATCTTCTAGTTCTCTTTGTGGGATGTTTTAGTTTGATTTTTTGGGTGTTTGGATGGCTTGTCCAAAGGTTAAGGGTTTCAGGGGTTTTTATGCTAGATCTGACCCTTTTATGACCTCTCTTGGCATAAAGTTGCAAGCTTTGCTAAGTCCTAAGTCGCATCTATGCATTAAGTCCTTTATTAAGCCATTTTGGGCTCTAAGGTTCCTTTCTTGCATGCATGAACGTAAAGTTGGAAACTTTACGTGATAATCCAGCCTTGGGATGCCAGAACTGTGTTTTGGGAGTATGTTTTGAGAGTTTAAGGGCTTAATGGGTTAAGCCTCACTCTATTAAGTCAAGGCTTCGGGTTTGGGTTCATTGTAGTTGTTTTTAAGGGTAAAGTTGGAAACTTTACCCTTCTAGTCATCATTTGGGAAGAGATCTGAGAATGGAAGCTTTTAGATTCGATGGAAACGGCTTAATGCATTAAGTTGTTTGATTCTTGGCCAACTCGACGAGTTCATGAGGATAACTCAGCGAGTTGATGCGAATTTCCCGATCTATGCATTTAATGGGGGGACTCGACGAGTTGAAGGACAACTCGGCGAGTTGGGTCAACTCGGACTTATGGGTTTAGGCCCGTATGGGGTTGGGCCCAATTTGGAAAATTGGGCCATTAGTGGGCTTTGATGGATCTAATAGTTTCTTGTATTTTGGGCTTGAGTTGTTATTGGGCCCAATTTTCCAAATTGGGCCATTGGTTGATTAGTAGGCCTTAGGCCTTTCATATTGTAGTTTTGGTCATGGGCAGGGTCAAGGTTAGGTTGGGGGTAAATTGGTCCTTTTACCCCAGGTATGGAGTTGTGGTTATGGTTTGGAGCCCAATTGTTAATTGGGTGTATTATTGATATTGCTAGTTTAGGAAGCCGTCAGGACAGCATCTAGGGATTCTTTTCAGTGAGCTTCTGTAGTGCGAGGTGAGTCTCGTCACTATATCCATGGGTCGAAGGCACCAATTCCGTCCCATTATGTGTTATGTGGTATGATAGTTGTTCTGTGTTATGTTGTATGCTAAAATGTCTCTGTGATACTTGCATGGAAGACCCCGGGGGGAGCCCGTGGCAATTGGATATCAGACCATGGAGGGAGCCCATGACATTCCAGGTAAAGACCATGGGAGGAGCCCATGGCATTTCAGACAAAGACCATGGGGGAGCCCATGGAAACTATATGTATGTTGCATGATAATCTGTGGTTGTATGTGGTATGGTGTTTTGGGGAACTCATTAAGCTTTTTGCTTACGGTTTTCAGTTTATGTTTCAGGTACTCCGATTTTCAAATGGAAGGGCTTGGGATGATTGCAGAGCAGACACCACATGTTTTCGCATTTTGTGAATTACTCTGATTTGATAATGTTTTTGTTAACTCTTGATTACCTTGGTTTCATGAGAAAGGAATGTATTAACGATTTATTAATCAAAAAGAAAAAAATTAGTGTCATGATTTTTGGGGCGTTACAAGTTGGTATCAGAGCCTTGATTTGAGGGATTCAGACATAATCTCAAGTGCGTCTGAACTCAAACTGAGATTTGGTAAAATTTCAAAAGAAAAGTATTTTTAAGAAAATAGTTTTCAAAAATAAGAGAAGGGTGTGGTGCACACAATCAGCCGAGCTCAAGTAAGTTTTCCCAAAATACCCATACATGTTATCTGTTATGATTTGATTTATGAATCGCATGCTAGTTAGGGCCAAGGATCTGCTCAGTTGTTGCATGATAGAGTGTTAGGAAAGAGGCCTTTGTATGTGTATTTGCATGCTAGAGCTAATTAGTTAGTGACAGATTGGATTGGTATGTGTGATGCTTAGTAGTTTTGGGCGTATTGAATGCTATGCGGTAATGGGAATATCTATTGGTATCAGTAACTGCTAAGTGTATGCTTTCAAAATTGTATACGGTTAGGATCTTATAGCCCTAGAATAATTGATTTGGCC